CGAATTGGGCATTTTGCTTTTACACCACTGTTGGTTGCATGACTCCGTGCTTTAGAAGACCCTTTTTGAAAATATTTCAGAAGAAGCATTGAGGCCAAGCGACGGTCCCTGGGCTAAGAAGCTACCGACTTTGAGCAAGGACTTCAAAAGGACGTCAAGGGTCAACACATCTAAGATCCAACATTACAGCTTTTTATCTGTCACTTAAGAGGCAGATTATGTGATAAAAATCAGAGTGTGCATTTGCACACATATATATCTCTAAGCATACACACAGAAGTTTTTTTGGGGGGGGGGTCCCTTCTAAAATTCTTCGTATGTTTAAGGTTTTGATTCTGTTTCTGCTGGGATCTGTCTTTTCTACTGAGGAGGTGAAAACATTTCGAGGTTCACAAAACTTGGGCAGTGGCCGAAAGTAAGAGGGGGGGAGGCAGATCTGGCAAGAATGTACCTCTGGATTACATCATTTGGGCCCTGCCAAATATTTGACTGAATAGCCAGCCATCTGACTTTAATCAGTCTTGGAAAGAGTTGCACGTACAGAATTTAAACCACAGCAATGAAGTCAGCAGACTGAAACATATGGGATTCCAGGAGGGGACGTACAATTCCTAACAATCCATAATTCGCTTTCCAACATAGCGTGTCTGATGTTGACATGCTGTAAGAAATTGCGGTTGGCTTCTAACAAATCAGGAAAGGAGGGGGCGTTTGTGTGTGTGTGTGTGTGTGTGTGAGTGGGGGGAAAGAGTTGCTAATCTCCTATGGGAGCTTTCCTGAGGCCTCCAGACCGGTGTTCTGAAGCGATGGTTCAACTTAGGAAACCTCTGCAAAGCTGACTGGGGATGTTGGTTTGAAGATCTACCAAGGTTTCGGCAAGTTGCAAGAACTGACCAACTTTGTTTAGACTTAGAAATTGGTTGTTTGGTTGGTACTAGGGATGGGAGACCACCAAGCTTGAAGATGTCCTGGAAAAAAATCATTGTCAGATTGTTGCCAAGGAGACTTTATGGTCCTGCATGTGAATTAATAGGTATCTCATCTGAAAGGAGACTACGTCATGTCTAACCTGGTGGCACTTGATAGCTCCATTGTAAGAGATCTTAAATCCTATTTAATAATAATAACAACAACAACAGAGTTGGAAGGGACCTTGAAGGTCTTCTAGTCCAACCCCCTGCTCAGGCAAGAAACCCTATCATTTCAGATAAATGGTTGTCCAATCTCTTCTTAAAAACCTACAGTGTTGGAGCACGCACAACTTCTGGAAGTAGGTTGTTCCACTGGTTAATTGTCCTCACTGTCAGGAAATTTCTCCTTAGTTCCAGGTTGCTTCTCTCCTTGATTACTTTCCATCCGTTGCTTCTTGTCCTGCCTTCAGGTGCTTTGGAGAATAGCTTGACTCCCTCTTCTTTGGGGCAGCCCCTGAGATATTGGAACACAGCTATCATGTCCCCCCTGGTCCTTCTCTTCATTAAACTAGATTCCAGCAACCGTCTCTTGTATGTTTTAGTTTCCGGTCCCTTGATCATCTTTGTTGCTCTTCTCTGCCCTCTTTCCAGAGTCCCAACATCTTTTTTACATCGTGGTGACCAAAAATGGACGCCGTATTCCAAGTGTGACTGCCCCAGTCACAGTTACTCTACAGCAGGGGTGTCCATCCTTGCCAACTGTAAGACTTGTGGACTTCAACCTGGATGCCTGAGGAATTCTGGGAATTGGGAGTCCACAGACCGTCAAGTTGCCAAGGTTGGACACCTCTGCTCTACGGGCTTAATATGAACCATCTGGTTGGTTCTTCTGTCGAAGACATACTTACCACAGGCGTGTATTCTTGAGCTCATTGGTTTTTCATGGTGCTAACATGTATATTTGCTGCATGATGCAACAACGGCTTACAAGTCCATCCAGATCATACAGTGGAGCCAATAAATTTCGGAACTGGTTCCCATAATGCCTTCCAAGTATGTGTTCATGGGAAGAGATGTGATCATAGCCAGGCTATTTACTCGGAAAAAATATCTTGAGCAATGGGGCGTGTGGTTCTCTCAGGGCAAGAAGAAAAGAGAAACCAAAGAAAAAAATTCAACAAATGCTTCCTCAGAAAGAATGTGATGATTTTTTTTCCTTATCCAGCTTTCTTCCTAATTTCAAAATCTCTTTAACAGATAAAGATTAACTGGAGGAGAGGGAAAGAGCAGCGAGACAAATATAAAGACGGTCGTATCGTGATTAAACAGCCCATTTTTCTGGATGTTCAGCAACAGCATCTCCACAAAAGGAAGACTGGATAAAAAAAAAGGAACGATATTTGGAAAGGCGTTTTTTGCCTCTCAACCGATCGGAAACCAATGGAATTAATTTCCATTATTACCGCAATTTGAGGGTGGATCTCCCAAAAGAATTGAACAGCTCACGCAGGGGATTTTAGATCCCCAAATTGTTCGGTAGATCTCCCCGACGAAACCAGATGCAACTAATAAATGAGATAAATGCATTGAGACAAAAGTAGCATCATAAATTCATTTTTGGATAAATGAAAATAATTGCCTGCGGGTGGCGAAACAATCTGGACCGGATTATCGGCGTGTGTGATGCCTCGAGTGTGAAATTTTAACAATATTTTCTCCTCCATTTGAATCCGAGCGAATGTTTTGACTGATTAAAAACAAAACAAGAACTTGTTTTCCTCTGATGTTATCTACAAGTGATCATACTTTTTAAAAAAAAAAACAACAACACATGTACTGGGTTGCTGCAACCTAGAATAAAATTCCTGAGGTTTCAAGGGCAACTTTTTGGACAGGCAAAAACATCTACGATGTGCTGAGTATGGGAAGAATGTTGATTATTCCAGATCTCTACATTTTTTTCTCCTTGACTGGTAGTTCCCCTAGGCCAGGGGTAGGCAACCTTGGCTCTTTTATGACTGGTGGACTTCAACTCCCAGAATTCCTCAGCCAGCCATGCTGAGGGGAAAGGGAGAGGTTTCCAAGCTGAGCCATGCTGGCTGAGGAATTCTGGGAGTTGAAGTCCACGAGTCGTAAAGCGGCCTAGGCCCTAGGCCAGGGGTGGGCAACCTTGGCTCTTTTATGACTCGTGGACTTCAGCTCCCAGAATTCCTGAGCCAGCCACGCTGAGGGGAAAGGGAGAGGTTTCCAAGCTGAGCCATGCTGGCTCAGGAATTCTGGGAGTTGAAGTCCATGAGTCGTAAAGCGGCCTAGGCCCTAGCCCAGGGGTAGGCAACCTTGGCTCTTTTACAACTCGTGGACTTCAACTCCCAGAATTCCTCAGCCAGGCACGCTGAGGGGAAAGGGAGAGGTTTCCAAGCTGAGCCATGCTGGCTCAGGAATTCTGGGAGTTGAAGTCCACGAGTCATAAAAGAGGTAAGGTTGCCTACCCCTGCCCTAGCCTAATTCTCTTTCAATATTTAGAAAGAGTACAGAGAAGAGCAACAAAGATGATTAGGGGACTGGAGGCTAAAACATATGAGGAACGGTTGCTGGAATTGGGTATGTCTAGTTTAATGAAGAGAAGGACAAGGGGTGACATGATAGCAAGGTTCCAATATCTCAGGGGCTGCCCCAAAGAAGAGGGAGTCAAGCTATTCTCCAAAGCTCCCGAAGGCAGGACAAGAAGCAACGGATGGAAACTAACCAAGGAGAGAAGCAACCTAGATCTAAGGAGAAACTTCTTGACAGTGAGGACAATTAACCAGTGGAACAGCTTTGCCTTCAGAAGTTGTGGGTGCTCCATCACTGGAGGTTTTTAAGAAGACATTGGACCGCCATTTGTCTGGAATGGTATAGGGACTCCTGCTTGAGCTAGACTAGAGGACCTCCAAGGTCCCTTCCAACTCTTGTTATTCTGTTAAACAAGATACTTTCTATTTCCACAGGATTCATTGACTGAAATCCTCTGGGATCCTGGAAGACAATTCAGGAACAACAGATACAGAGAGAAACCTGATTTGATCACTGCAGCTTTGATTCTTAAATAGGGGATCTGGGAAAACTTTTTTTTCATCTAACACATTTCCGCATCCTGAAAAAGTTTGAAAACCCCTGACGTAGTGCATAAATGTCTTTTGTTTGCCAAATAATTGCTTTTCTATGTTAAGTGCCAAAGTACAAAGAAGGAACAACTGATGATCAAGCTGAGATCATTTGATACGAGCGCTGAATTCTGATCCTGTTTAATTTAATACGGGAAGAAATTGCATTAAAAATAAATATTCGCAAGGAAGACAAAATGTCCGAGAGACTCAGGAACAAAATGGCATTCTGTTTGTTTAGGCAAGTTAACACACACACACACTATTATAACGCAACTGAATGGTTCAAACCACAACACCAGCTTTTGCTAGGTTATCATTTGACCTTAAATGGATGTGGCCGTTCAATAGCAGATTTTTTTTTTCCCCCATCTAGACTGGTGTTTCTCAAACTTGGCAAATTTAAGATCTATGGACTTCAGCTCCCAGAATTCCCCAGCCAGAGTTGAAACCCACACATCTTAAATTTGCCAAGTTTGAGAAAACATTAGTCTAGACTATTTCCCTGCAAACATCTGAACCACGAAGACGCTTAAGCAACATGTTCATTTGGAGCAGAGCAAAAGACTCTCACCCGCTGAGACACATCATAATTCACGGTTTATAAACTTACAATGAAAGGATTCACAGAACACGCTAGCCCAAAAATCAAATAAGCAACCGGGCTGCTTAGTGTGAGGTAGGAACACATATATCTATTTCCTGCCAAGGCATTTTAACTGCCAACCCGGCTGTAAAGCCGTGGTGAATTACATCCAATCTGGTGTTGAATGTGTAGCAAAACTGGCAAACGTGGTGGAGCCAAAATCACCACAGATGAAGCGTGGAATCTAACTTGATCCAGTCACAGCTGCCCGAATTTTCCATCCACAGAACCGATCTGGCAGTGTTGCCTTGATGAAAAACAAGGACGACATGAACAAAGAAAGGAGAAACGGGAACTTACCAATGATTATGCTCCCTGTTTTAGTCTCCAAGGTAATATCCCCTGCAACGAAATTGGAAGAGACGTTAAAACAGCACAACTCCTAGCAATGCACAACTCCTAGCAATGCACAAACAAGAAGCCGCAGGGGGTTGAAACCAGCTACGAATTGAATCAGAGGTTCTTGTTTGTAGTACTATCGGGCGCAGAGGATTGGGATCATACGCTAAGTTGCAATGCAGATGATTTATTAATCAAGCTTATATGCAAGAATCTAGTCATCTAAGGTTCAATACGGAATTGGCACCAGATAAGGTTAACGGAATTCAAGACTTGGGACTTGGACCATTTGTGGGAACGTAACGATTCTAGGCAGATGACTTGCTTAACTCTGCCCCTCGCAGCTCAGCCTGCTCTTCTCCTACAAGTACGTGCCTCACGCCCACATTCACACAAATACAGAATTAAGCAATCCATATTATCAGAGCCGTGCATCTTATAACCCAGCATCTCTCAGTAGCAACTTGGGAAGTGGTAAGGAGATAGTGGGAGGTATAATTCAGCAACTTCCAGGTGCCGCAAATGTTGCCTTAAGGATATCACAACCTTTTTGCACATGCTACTTTATTAGAATTCATTCGAATGCGACTTCTATTCTTATTTTGGTTTTATTATAGCAGCTCCTTATTTTGGCTGTATTGTGATCGCTCCCAAGCTCTAGCAAATTTTTGCAATTCATTTATTTCTTGGATTGCTATTCTTCCTAAGGCACAAAATGCTCAAATGGATAAAAATAATTAACAAGAACAAAATAAATTGAAAACACGCACATCGCAACCACATTGTATCATCACCACAAGTATTGCAAATAAAGCCATTATATAGTAACGACTTAATAGTTCAGTGGCTAAATTGAAAAGGATCTGTTTTGCATTCTTCTTTTTTCAAATAAGAACCGTTGTCACTTCGAGGAAACCTACAATATTTTAGGATCAACAAAAGCCTTGCAAAATTACATCGGCGAGGAAAATTCAACATGTCATTTGGAAGATGAACTTTTATAAAAATTGTGCAGTCAAGTAACCATTCCACCAACAACTGGATATAATAAATTCTGTAGTTTTCATCTTCTCTTAAATGGAAATACGTATTATCTTATAGTATCTGATTTGCCACTAGTGCTGACATCCAGCGAATATAAAGTTGGGGCAATAGTCATGAAGCATTGACAGAAACAATTTGATCCATTTCTAATTTTCTGTTCCCCGCGAGCAATAATTGGAAACATTTTCCTGCACGTCGACCTTGTACTGCTTAAAAACGAAGATACAAGTCAAAGCTATTTTTCTGTATTGGAAGCCTGCCTACTCAAAACATACATCTCTTTCTGCAAGAAAGCTGTTTATTTACTTCATATTTTTTTCCTATTCTGTCCAAGTTCAGGAATCTAAAGTCAGTCCTTGACTTACCACTGCAATTGAGCTTAAAATGTATGTCGTTAAGTGAGACATTTGTTAGGTGAATTTTGCCCTGTTTTCTTGAGACAATTGTTAAGTGAATCACTGCAATTGTTGAGTTAGTATCACAGTGGTTAAGTCGAGTAGGCAACCTTGGCTCTTTGATGACTGGTGGACTTCAACTCCCAGAATTCCTGAGCCAGCCATGCTGAGGGGAAAGGGAGAGGTTTCCAAGCTGAGCCATGCTGGCTCAGGAATTCTGGGAGTTGAAGTCCACAAGTCATAAAAGAGCCAAGGTTGCCTACCCCTGGGTTAAGTGAATCTGTCAGGATAATAATTTAATAGCTAAACAGCTTATGTGACGATGTAACGCAGTGTAAGGTGGTTGATGCAATAATAGGAATGACTCAGCAGGTGTGTGTATCCCTTTAAGAGCCTGAGTATAAAAGGGAAGGTTTTTTTGCTGGAGTCTTTCTCTCTTGTCCATTTCCTGCTGTAATTGCTGGAGTTTGCTGAATTGTCACCATGTGTGTGTCTTTTGTTTCCAGTATATTTGCAGATATTGTAATATAAACCACCATTTAATACAAACCACTGTTTGCTGTATTTTCTCCTGGGTTACCTCAGCGCAATAAGACTGTGCATGCTCTGACAGGCTTCCCCATGGATTCTGCTTGTCAGAAGGTCCCAGAGGATGACCACGTGATCCTGGGACAGTGCGACCGTCATAAATATGAATCAGTTACCAAGCATCTGAAATTCTGATCACGTGACCCTGAGGATGCTGCCATGGTCCTAAATGTGAAAAGGTCATAGGTCACTTTTTAAAGTGCCGTTGTAACGTTGAACGGTCACCAAATGAACTGTTAGAAGTTGAGTTAAGAAGTCAATAAATAAATGCGTTTAATAACTATTCAAAGTTACAACGGCGTTGAAAAAAAACACACTGTGGTCCTCACAGGTATGACTGTCGCAGCATCCCCATGGTCACGGGATCAAAATTCAGAGGCTTGGCAACTGACTCATATTTATGACAGTTGCAGGGTCCCCCGGGGGTCACGCGATCCCCTTTTGCGACCATCTGGCAAGCAAAGCCCACAACGGTGTCACTCATTTAACAAATGCAGTGATGCATATCACAAATGTGGCCAAAAAATGTCGTAAAATGGGGCAAAACTCACTTAACAAACGTCTCGCTTTGCAACAGAAATTTTGAGCTCAACTGTGGTCGTAAGTTGAGGAATATCTGTAAACTCTTCTAGGGAAACAAGTGGGGTTTTTTCAGTGCCCGTTCAGTTACTCCGAACCCCATTATTGATTCGTTCTTGTTACCATAGAAACAGATGGATCCAGTTAATGCCAGGATCTTGCCTAACAGTGGATCTAGGAAGGAAGCGTTGTGCTACAAAATGTGTCAATGCATCCATAAACAAGCAGCAGAAAATCTTACATCTTCTCAAAGAACTTTTTTCCCCAATTTTAAAGGTTTAAGTCTTCAACGTGCCTTCGTTTATCCTGGAAATGCTGAGTCTTACATTACATAAGGACGTCCACAATGGGTGGAGCAAAACAGTCATTAAAAAAAGACAAAGATGTTTTACATGTCAGAGCAGATGTTAGAAGACTGTAAATCAGTCAGATGCTGCCCATAAAACGATCAGGATTGGAAAATTAAAAGCGTACCGAATATACTGAAATCAGACTGGAATAGACAGCGTGTAGTACACGTTTGCAAGAATATAAGTATGTATTAAACTCTCTGTTTGCAATCTACTCTACTGTACTCTATTCTACTCTACTCTACTCTATATTCTATTCTATTCTATTCTATTCTATTCTACTCTACTCTACTCTACTCTACTCTACTCTACTCTACTCTACTCTACTCTACTCTACTCTACTCCATTCCATTCCATTCCATTCCATTCCATTCTCTTCTATATTTTACATTCTATTCTATTCTACTCTACTCTATATTCTATTCTATTCTATTCTATTCTATTCTATTCTATTCTATTCTATTCTATTCTATTCTATTCTATTCTACTCTACTCTACTCTACTCTACTCTATTCTATTCTAATATGGATCAAATTAATACCAGGATCTTGCCTAACAATGGATCTAGGAATGAAGTGTTGTTCTATAAAATGTGTATTGCGTCCATAACCAACCAGCATAAAATCTTATATCTCAAAGACCTTTTTTTGCAATTTCAAAGGTTTAAGTCTTCATCGTGCCTTGGTTTATCCTGGAAGTGACCCAATGATGGCTGCAATTGATGGAGCAAAATTGTCATAAAAAAAAAAAGACAAAGATGTTTTACATGTCAGAGCAGATGTTAGAAGACTGTAAATCAGTCAGATGCTGCCCATAAAACGATCAGGATTGGAAAATTAAAAGCATACCGAATATACTGAAATCAGACTGGAATAGGCAAGGAATATACAATCCTTCCATTCCCCACCATCCAGGCAGAATAAATGGTATTAGTGTTCAAATTGTCTTCTTTAAACTGGCTGTAGCTCTTTAGGTTGTTTTTTTTTTTTGCTCTACCCTGACATAAAATGTGTGTTTTTATAGGGAGAGTGTAAAAAACAGAATACTTTATGTTTGCCCGAAAAATATCCAAAACAGCCTTTTGTGACAGCCAAATTTATCTTCTTCCAAACCCAAGGGTCTACATTAAAAACCTATCCATCAACATTTTTTGAATGAGACTCAGTAAACCAACCTCACGGCTCAGCATCGCTATTCCTTGGAATTTAATTTAAAAACATCAAGTTGTATTTATTTACTCAAGCCTCTATGTGTGTGTGTGTTTGGGCCCAGTCTTTCTGGCTCTTTTTGAACTTAACAGCCAGAGTTTGAGCCAACATCCCAGTTCATTAGAAAAGAAAATGAAATGGTTTTAAATGCGGGGGTGGGTGGGGAGAGAAGAAACAGCACGCACACACACACACACAAAAGAAAGAACACACACCAAAAACCCCACGAAAGAACAAACAAACAAACAAAAACAGAAGAGTTAAAAAAAAAAAGGAGAGATCATTGCGATGCTAAAATTCTGAGGACTGATGGATAATCTTACTGCTGAGTCCTAACTTCTGCTCTGAATTATTGTGATAGGGCTGTCCAACCCACACAAAAAATCCACAAACCCAAAGTCTGGATGAATTACAGCTTGAGGGCCAGCACACCCCCACATCCCAACCACCGGTAGAAAAAAAATACAGAATATTCATTCAGCGCAGTGGTGGGATTCAGCCGGTTCGCACCACTTTGGCAGAACCGGTACCTAATTTTTTGTTGCCCAGGCCCAGAATGGACTTCCGGAAGTGGCATCCACGCAGAGAACCGGTTGTTCACCTATTTGAATCCCACTACTGTAGATGGATGGATGGATGGATGGATGGATGGATGGATGGACGGACGGACGGACGGACGGACAGACAGATAGGATTCAGCCGATTCGCACCACTTCGGCAGAACCAGTAGCTAATTTTTTGTTGCCCAGGCCCAAAATGGACTTCCGGAAGCGGCATCCACACAGAGAACCGGTTGTTCACCTATTTGAATCCCACCACTGTGGATGGATGAATGGACGGACGGACGGACGGACGGACGGACGGACGGACAGACAGACAGACAGACAGACAGATGATAGATAGATAGATAGATAATAGATGATAGATAGATAGATAGATAGATAGATAGATAGATAGATAGATAGATAGATAGATAGATAGATAGATAGATAGATAGATAGATAGATAGATAGATAGATAGATAGATAGACAGACAGACAGACAGATAGATAGACAGATGATAGATAGTAGATAGACAGATGATAGATGATAGATAGATAGATAGATAGATAGATAGATGATAGATAGATAGATAGATAGATAGATAGATAGATAGATAGATAGATAGATAGATAGATAGATAGATAGATAGATAGATGATAGATAGACTTTCCAGAGTCTCAACATCTTTTTTATAATAAATGAAGTCTTAGTACTGGGCAATTGTACTGCAGCTTCTGATAAATGGCACCTGGGTTTTAGCTCATGCCAGGATACTGCTCAGAGAACATAACCTTAGAAAAAACCCATTTTGTTCATTAATAGAATCATGTTATCTTCAAAATCTGGCTCCGCTTGTAACTTTCCCAAGGCAATTAAAAAAAATGGCTGTGCTATATTCAGCTTCATAAACACAGTCAGGCACTAAACTGGGTACGAAAAAGAATACTTTTCCTTAAAAAGGCATTTGTTAGAGAAATGTTGCTCTAATGAAGTCTTTTTGCCCTCTTACCGTGGACGTTCCCCAGTAAAATGTCGCCAGCCGCTGAAGTCAGAAACGAAGAGTCCGCGTACAAATATTTAGCTTTGAGCAGACCGTTCTCACTCGCAATGTGAATAGATGATCCTTGGAGCTTTTCTGCGTTCACACTCTAGTGCAAGAAAAAAGAAAAACAAAATACAATGAAGTTGTATTAAGTATTCTGACTTGGTAACGAATAGCTCTTGGGCTATCTTGGGCTCCAAGATCACCGCAGATGGGGACTGCAGCCAACAAATTAAAAGACGCTGGCTCCTGGGGAGGAAAGCCATGGCAAATCTAGACAGCATACTAAAAAGCAGAGACATCACCCTGCCAACAAAAGTATATATAGTCAAGGCCATGGTTTTCCCAGTTGCAATGTATGGCTGTGAAAGTTGGACCATAAGAAAGGCTGAGCGCCAAAGAATGGAGGCCTTTGAACTATGGTGCTGGAGAAGACTCCTGCGAGTCCCCTGGACCGCAAGGCGATCCAACCGGTCAGTCCTAGAGGAGATCAACCCTGACTGCTCTTTAGAAGGCCAGATCCTGAAGTTGAAACTCAAATACTTTGGCCACCTAATGAGAAGGAAGGACTCCCTGGAGAAGAGCCTGATGCTGGGAAAGATGGAGGGCAAGAGAAGAAGGGGACGACAGAGAACGAGGGGGCTGAATGGAGTCCCTGAAGCAGGAGGCGTGAGCTTCAATGGACTCCAGAAGATGGTAGAGAACAGGAAGGCCTGGAGGAACGTTGTCCATGGGGTCGCGATGGGTTGGACACGACTTCGCAACTAACAACAACAACGAATAGCCAATTTGGTCTAGTGGTTACGGCACCAGGCTAGAAAACGAGAGACCCTAAACAGCTAATTCACACCACATTGTCTTATGCCAGAGGTCTTCAAACGTGGCCCTTTTATGACTTGTGGGCTTTACGATTTCACTTCCAATAGATCAGGGGTCTTCAAACTTGGCTCTTTTATGACTTTTAGGCATGTCCTGCCAAGCAAAGATTAAAGCTAAAAAAAACCCCAATCTTTGGTCTTGGCTTATCCCCGGACACCTTGGAAAAATTTGGCATAACTCAGCAATGTTTTAGTCATTTTATATATTTATGGGGTTGGCACGTTGGCAGAACATTGACTCTTCAGGCGGAGCCAAAGCAGACTTGCCAGCGGTTCCAACCGAATGAAATTTTTCCAAGGTGTCCGGGGATAAGCCAAGACCAAATGCCAGATTGTTTCTTAGCTTTGATCTCTGCTTGGCGGGACAGGGAAAGCTGCCAGGAGATTGATCAAGCAAATGAGAAGTTGGGCTCTGGCCTAAATATTTATGATGGAATAGAATAGAGTAGAGTAGAGTAGAGTAGAGTAGAGTAGAGTAGAGTAGAGTAGAGTAGAGTAGAGTAGAGTAGAGTAGAATAGGACAGTGATGGCAAACCTTTTAGAGACCGAGTGCCCAAACTGCAACCCAAAACCCACTTATTTATCGCAAAGTGCCAGGGCTGCATCAGCATTGTGGTGCCCTCAGGGGGGGCGGGTGTGTGTGGCCCACTGGGTCGGTGTGTTTGCAGTGGTCATGGCAGACTAGGTGAGCGTGGCTGGAGCCAGTCCCTCGCCATCTCCAGGGAATCCCCGGGGGGCCAACGCAGTTTACGTGCTCACTTCCTGCCGTCGCTTCCAAACGCCACGTGGTCGCTACTCTGGCGAACTCTGCTGGGGCAACGGCGTGCGTGCCCACAGAGGGCTCTGCGTGCCGCCTCTGGCACGCGTGCCATAGGTTCGCCACCACTGGAATAGGAGCTGGAAGGGACCTTGGAGGTCTTCTAGTCCAGCCCCCTGCTCAAGCAGGAGAACCTATACCATCTCAGACAAGTGACTGTCCAGTCTCTTCTTAAAAACCTCCAGTGATGGAGCACCCAAGATTTCTGAAGGCAATTTCTGTTCTACTGGTTAATTGTCCTCACTGTTAGGAAGTTTCTCCCAAATTTCAGGTTGCTTCTCTCTTGCTCCTGGAGAGGAAAGCTATCCATCCATTATTTCTTGTCCTGGTGCTTTGGAGAATAATTTGTGGCAGCTCCTCAAATACTGGAATACTGAAGGCAGAAGTATCCAGTTTCAGCACCAGGAGACACCTAATGCACAGCCATAAACCTTCATCATTCCTTGGTTTATCCTGGAAATGCTGAGTTTGAACTATATAATGATGTCTATAACGGAAAGGCAGGCTGATTGTTAACAGAAATTGGTCTGCGAGAAAGACAGCCAAACATCTTACTCCACCGAGTTGGCTCCCCTGCTATTCTACTCGGAAGACAAAGAATACACTGGATTGATACCTAATTCTATAGCTATAAAACCTTATAATAATTCCACCGGTTCTAGTCTAAGGAGCTCTTAGAGGACCGCGCAAAAAAACCCCCAAAAGTGGATCAAAGAAACATTACAAGATATAAAAAGATTATGTTAGACGGTGCTCGACTTACAACGGGAGTCCCAAATTTCGGCTGCTCAGTGAAACATTTGTTAAATGAAGTTTGCTCCATTCTACGAACTTCCTAACTGAATCACTGCACTTGTTAAGTTAGTAACAGGGTTGGTTAAAGGACTCCGGATTCTCCGTTGACTTTGCTTATCAGAAGCTCAGCCAAAGTGGATCGCGGTCGTAAGTGTGAGAAATGGTCATAAAGTCACTTTGCAGTGCCTTTGTAACGTCGAAGGGTCACTAAATGGACTATCATAAGCCAAGAACGACCTGTGTTTATAGAAACCTATCCTAGTTTTCCCGTAGGGCTGCCAAAATCAGGGTCATTCAACAGAAATCGAAGAAGAAAAATTTCATATTCTTACTATCCAAAGAGAAATTCTACTAGCTAAAGGTGCCATCTGCGGGCCAATGCATAGCATAGCACCTCTATTTCAGGGGTGTTCAAACTTGGCCCTTTGATGACTTGTGGACTTCAACTCCCAGAATTCCTCAGCCAGCGGCTGAGGAATTCTGGGAGTTGAAGTCCACAAGTCATCAAAGGGCCAAGTTTGAAGACCCCTGTTCTAAGGTGTTTCTTATTTGCCGATCCTTAGCATAGGAAGTTTTACATTGTTTAATATTAAAAAAATATACATTTTAGTGTGACTTAATTTCTCTTATGTTAGCCCCACGGCCGTCACTTACGCTTTCTTGTGACACGAGAATATTGATATTTCCTTGAAGAGTTCCCAAGCAGATCACATCCCCTCCTTTTGCCCGGATATCAATTTTCTGACTCTGAAAGAAAACTGCATATGTGTTAAAAAAAAAAAAAACAAGTTTACTTTCTTGTTCTTCAAAGATTCGTATCCCAGTTACGGCCCATTCTAACATTCAAATCCTATTCTCCTTATATTTCTTTGAACCTTCCTGGAAAATGAACTCCTGCGTGGAAGCTGTTTTTTTCTAATAATTCAACTCTAATAAGGTTGAATTACTGCCCTTTATGCAGCTCTTAAAGGTTAAAAAAAAAACGCAATCTACGATGCTAGGAATTTCAGATCGGATCTCTGTGTATAAGTCAGCAAAAAAAAAACATTATAAAATATGTAAGCCTAAAAGGCTATCAAGTGTCAGCTATTCTGAGCTAAATAGACTAGCATTCTGAGGTGGGATAAAAGGGAAGCTTCTGCTTTTCTGAAAAGGATACATAAATTAAAAATTGGATAACAGAATAACAGAAGGGACCTTGGAGGTCATCTAGTCCAACCCCCTGCTCAGGCAGGAAACCCTATACCACTTCAGACATGTGGCTGTCCAGTCTCTTCTTTAAAACTTCCAGTGTTGGCACATTCACCGCTTCTGGAGGCAGGTTGTTCCACTGGTTAATTGTTCTCACTGTCAGGAAATTTCTCCTTAGTTCTAGGTTGCTTCTCTCCATGGTTAGTTTCCACCCGTTGCTTCTTGTCCTGCCTTCAGGGGCTTTGGAGAATAGCTTGACTCCCTCTTCTTTGGGGCAACCCCGGAGATACTGGAAGGCTGCTATCCTGTCCCCCCTCGTCCTTCTCTTCATTAAACTAGACATACCCAATTCCAGCAACCGTTCCTTATATGTTTTAGCCTCCAGTCCCCTAATCATCTTTGTTGCTCTTCTCCGCACTCTTTCCAGAGTCTCAACATCTTTTTTACATCGTGGAGACCAAAACTGGATGCAGTATTCCAAGTGTGGCCTTACCAAGGCCTTGTAAAGTGGTATTAACACTTCACGTGATCTTGATTCTGTCCCTCTGTTCATGCAGCCCAGCACTGTGTTGGCTTTTTTGGCAGCTGCCGCACACGGCCGGCTCCTATTTAAGTGACTGTCCCCTTTGATAATGCTATTTAGTAAAATCCGTTGAATTCAGTGGTTCCCATTTCAGAGAAAGGTGCCCGGCTCAGAAAAGTGGGCCAGTGACAGGATTGTAAGGATTTTAAAGTCTAGCCAAGAAAGGCTTCTGTGATTTTTATAATTCCATCCGTGAGCAGCAACAATATCAGGTACAGGAATCAATCTATTGCAGGGGTCTTCAAACTTGGCCCTTTTATGACTTGTGGACTTCAACTCCCAGTATTCCTCAGCCAGGCACGTGTGCCTGGCTGAGGAATTCTGGGAGTTGAAGTCCACAAGTCATAAAAGGGCCAAGTTTGAAGACCCCTGATCTATTGGATGTGAAATCGTAAACAAGTTCATCTGCAACAGGTAACATTGAGATAAAGGACATTTACGATGCTGAAGATTATGTATAATTCTCAAAACAAGTAAAGGCCGGTACCTTTATTGACTTAAAGATACTCGCTCCCTTCTCTGTTTCTACTTGGCAGTTAGCGCTTTCCATCTGTTCAACCTTCACACAGCCGTTTCCCGATGTCTTGATATCCAAGTCTAAAAGTGATTTTTAAAAGTAACAAGGGATGGAGATCAGAACAGGGTTAAGTTTGATTTCATTACGTCAGCAAGGAAACACAAGAGAGCAAGGTGGAGTGTCCTGCTTGCAAAGCAGATCGGCATTCACGCCGCACCCACCCCTTTCCGCACCTACCAAATTTTACCGGCGTCCTCACATCCAGAGAAGCTGCACCGTCCACGCCGTCGGAGACTATGACCACCTCCTTCCGGGCCTCGTCATAGTTCACAAGCAGATGCGAGGCAGGGTCGGCTTTCGAACCCTTCCCCTTCAGGGCCACAAACACCTTGTCAGAATCGGGGTACTGATGGGCGTCCAGGGGACCCACGGTTATGTGGTAAGGGAGACGGGCCTTCAGAAGACCGAAAGGACTGACGGTCAAGGTCCACTCCTTGAGAAGCTGATGACTCTTGGGGTCCTTTTCTGCAGGACCCAGGTTGGCGTTACTTGTGAACAAGCCCACTTGGTGGGGCCTTCTCAGCTTCAGCCAATCACCATGGCTCCTTGCTAACACCTTCCTTGTGAGATAGCACCATCTTGACAAGCTCCGTTGCATGGTTTTGTTGATTCCTTGTTCTATGGGGATGTTTTGGTGAGACCTCCTCCTAGGAAAGGACACCAGTAGAGTAGAGTAGAGTAGAGTAGAGTATAGAACTGAATAGAATTGAACTGAATAGAATTGAACTGAATAGTATTGAATTACAGAATAGACCAGAATATAGAATAGAATAGAATAGAATAGAATAGAATAGAATAGAATAGAATAGAATAGAATATAGGAATGTAGAGTAGAGTAGAGTGTAGAGTGTAGAGTAGAGTAGAATATAGCAAATAGAATATAATATAGAAAATAGAATAGAATATAGCAAATAAAAGAGAATAGAATATAGCAAATAAAAGAGAATATAGAATAAAATAGAGAATAGAATAGAATTGAACTGAATAGTATTGAATTACAGAATAGACCAGAATATAGAATAGAATAGAATAGAATAGAATATAGGAATGTAGAGTAGAGTAGAGCAAATAAAATAAGAATGTAACAAATAAAATAGAATATAGCAAATAGAATAGAATATAGAAAATAGAATAAAATAGAATAGAGAATAGAACTGAATAGAATTGAATAGAATTGAATTACAGAATAGAATAGAATAGAATAGAATAGAATAGAATAGAATAGAAGCTGGAAGGGACCTTGGAGGTCTTCTAGTCCAGCCCCCTGCTCAAGCAGGAGTACCTATACCCTTTCAGACAAATGAGGGTAGGGTCTTCCTTTCCCTACTTTTTGCATGGGGCGGGGGGAGGCTCAACTGGATCAGCCCCCCCTCTTACAAGCCCATCCCGTTCGCTTCCCCCCAAAAATCATGCACAAGAATTGATCAGCACCCGCAGCAACCCGGATACGTCAAACTTGCAGCGAGGGCTGCTGGGAGTTGTGGTTTCCGCTCCCGCGCGGACTCGCCAAGCACAAGTCGGGCATTTGAACTACAAGTCCCGGAATGCAATTCGGCCTCGGAGGTTTTTTTTTTTTTCCCCCCTCCTTCCTCTCTCCAATGGCTGGGAGGAAAGGGGAACGGAACGTTTCGTCACGCCACAGGAAAGGGCGGAGACTTTTGGTCTCCTTGGGAACGGGTGACGCTAACGGGCGAGTCGGTTGCTAGGCGACGCCAGAGCCGAGGCCTGGGGAAAAAAAAAAAGAGTAACGCGAGTGGTAGTAACGCCGGTAAGATAAACTGGGTTAGATTCGGCTGGATCCCAGTCTGTGCAAAGGGGAGGCTTTGGATTCTTGGGGGGGGGGGGAGAAGCTACCAGATTCAGGAACAGAGCTGCTTTCAAGAAATCCCGTTTATGCCTGGCTACGTCACGTTTCATGAGTGGATGGGAGACCACCAGGAAATCCCAGGGCTGTCAGTTGGACGTGGGAGGGGGGCAACATTCCTCCAAAAAAGGCAGTGGGGAGGGTGGAAATCACTTCCCACTGTTGCCTGCAAAACTGCACTGATGTATTTAAGTCAAGTTAATCCAATTTTTACTTGCTACGCAGGGAGTCCTCGACTTACGACAGCTCATTTAGTGACCGAAGTTACAACGGCGGCACTGAAAAAAAAAGTGACTTAGGACCATCTTTCAGGCTTAATGACCGCTGTGGATGCGTCCCTGTGGTCAGGTGGTTTACATTGGGATGCTTGGCAACTAACTCGTACTTACGACGGTTTTAGTGTCCTGGGGGGGTCAAGTGACCCCCTTTTGCGACCTTCTGACGAGCAGAGTCCATGGGGGAAGCCGGATTCACTTAACAACCGTGTTGCTGACGTAACAAACTCCGGCAATTCACTTAAGCACGGTGTCAGGAGAGGTCGTAAAATGGAGCAAAGCTCACTGAACAAATGTCTCACTTAGCGACGGGGCTCAGTCGTGGTCGTAAGGCGAGGACTGCCTGTATAGGTGGATGTTGTATCAAGCAGATATAGAAGCATAATGCACAGTGTGTGAATCAGGCTAATGAATGATGGGGAAATGTATCGTTTGTGGTGATAATTGTTTGCGCAGCTCCTGTCGTTTTTGCAACGTTGTTTAGTGTTTCTTCAGATCCAGAGGAAGTTAATGGTGGGTATTCGAGTTGTCTATCTAATGCTGGAAATAATGATGATGATGATGATGATGATGATGATGATGATGATGATGATGATGATGATGATGATGATGATGATGATGGTGGTGGTGGTGGTGGTGGTGGTGGTGGAAGTGACCTTGGAGGTCATCCAGTCCAACCCCCTGCTCAGGCAGGAAACCATATACCATTTCGGACAAATGGCTGTCCAGTCTCTTCTTAAAAACTTCCAGTGTTGGAGCATTCACCGCTTCTGGAGGCAGGTAGTTCCACTGGTTAATTGTTCTCATTCTCAGGAAGTTTCTCCTTAGTTCTAGGTTGCTTCTCTCCTTGATTAGTTTCCATCTATAATTTCTCTCTATTATCTATTTATCTTTCTATCTAAATCTATCTGTCTGTCTGTCCGTCCGTCCGTCCGTCCGTCTGTCTATCTATCTGTCTTTCTGCCCGTCCATCCATCTAATAATAATAATAATAATAATAATAATAATAATAATAATAATAATAATAATAGAGTTGGAAGGGACCTTGGAGGTCATCTAGTCCAACCCCCTGCTCAGGCAGGAGACCCTATACCATTTCAGACAAATGGCTGTCCAGTCTCTTCTTAAAAACCTCCAGTGTTGGAGCATTCACCGCTTCTGGAGGCAGGTTGTTCCACTGGTTAATTGTTCTCACTGTCAGGAAGTTTCTCCTTAGTTCCAGGTTGCTTCTCTCCTTAGTTAGTTTCCATCCGTTGCTTCTTGTCCTGCCTTCAGGCGCTTTGGAGGATAGCTTGACTCCCTCTTCTTTGGGGCAGCCCCTGAGATACTGGAACGCTGCTATCATGTCCCCCCCTCGTCCTTCTCTTCATTAAACTGGACATCCCCAATTCCAGCAACAGTTCCTTATATGTTTTAGCCTCCAGTCCCCTGATCATCTTCGTTGCTCTTCTCTGCCCTCTTTCTAAATAAATTGGAATATGGAATAGCAACTGCTAGAAAGTGAACGATGAAGGCAAGAATTGCCAAGATTTGACTCTTTGTTTAACCCAATGTACATATTAATACAACTTCATGCTGTTGCATGCATAAAGGAATATTTAAATATATATATATAACAAAGTCTTTCCTTCCTTCCTTTTAAGGGGGGGGGGTTCTTCAAGATTAGATTTAGGTATGAAATTGAATAATCTGTATTTTAGAACTACTATTTATGTTTTCTCTGTTTAAAAAATGTGGTTAAGAAAGGAAAAGCTGCACAATTGATAGCGTTAGCTGCTCTTTGAAGCACCTTCATGTTTGCTGGTTTTCAGAAATAATTTTTAAGCAGTTGTAGTATGGCTGTGCAACGGATCTGGCTTCAAAGGTTGCTGGGAATGTGTATCTGGATGGATCCTTTAGAAACACCTTGAACTAAGTGCATATTTTCCTAGGACTGTATATCAGCTGGGCAGGGCAGCTGGGCAGCTGTGCCCTTGAAAAAGGTACAGCTGTTTTAAGAAGCTACCTGTCCATCCATTTTGGTCCCAGGTCTGTACAGCCCTAATCACTTTCTGCAGTAATGTATCAATTTTGCAATTCAAATGCACTTCATAAAGAGCTAGGGTTTCTGTACAATCCATTTTACTTTTTCCTTTTGCAAGGGCTTGCTTTCAAACTTATATATAGCATCTTTTTTAAATGTTTATAAGGCACATTTCCTGGTAATTATGGCTGTAATTTACTTTTTATACCGCCAGAAGGCAGCAGCTACCAATACACTGCAATTACATTTTGCTGGATTAATTTTGTGATAGGGGTGGGAATCAAAATTGCTTTCCATTTTCATATAATGTTCACTACCTCAACCAATGCAAGCTGGATGCAATTATCAATTTATAGCAATTTTTGCTGTAACAGTGCAGACGTTACAGGAAACTGAGCGCATCTTTTTTAAAAAATTAAATGTGCGTGAATCTCCCGTTAAAATTATTAATATTTGCGTAGAAAAACTGGGATGGAGTAAACATTTATTTGTCCCAAAAAAAAAAAAATAGAGATGTTGAAGCATGCTGTAGCTCTGTAAATATTTGCATTTATGTGGAATATCAACTTGCAGTATGTTGAAATTCAAGTATAGGTTGCATTTGATGCAAACAAGATACAGACCTAACGTATAGAATGAAATCGCGAGTTGCTTAATGATGGTTTGTTGGACAGCCGACGCTTCATTAGTTAGGTTGGGCTTGGGATTTTATGACAGCCATGAGATTGCTACACATTGTCACATTGACTAATACATGGAGCAAAATATACCACCGTTCCGCTTTTGCCTTTTGCCGCTGAGCCAAGAGAGGAGTATCTGGAATATGGGGTTTACCCTGCTGCTGTGGACAGACCATATATCAGTGGTGGCGAACCTATGGCACGCGTGCCAGAGGCGGCGCTCGGAGCCCTCTCTGTGGACACGCGTGCCATGCCCCGGAGATGGCAGCCGTCCCTCTTCAACCAGCCGCCCGCTAACTCGCCGAGGTCCCACGTGGCCAGATGCATCCCAGCACGGCTGGTTTCCTTCCCCCCTCATCCCATCCCTCCTGGCCTCGCATGCTCTCCTTTTCCCATGCACGACCCACTGCATCGCCTCCTCAGCTGTCGGCCGGCTGTCCAGCACAGGGGTGGCTTCTCTGAACTGCTGGCGGTGGTCTATGGAGTCCCAGAGAGCACTAGTCGAGGGGCCTGTAGGCTATGGCTGCTGACGGACACCGTCGGCCCCCATGCGCTCGCTGGCCTCTGTGTGTGGGGGGCGATGGTGTCAGGCAGCAGCCACCCCAGCCCGTGCCTCACCTTGCCCTGTGACAATGGCACCCACGCCCTGCCTCACCTTGCCTCCTGCCCACCGCCCCACCTGCCAGAGACCCCCTGGATCTCCCCCAACCCTGCTCGGCCCCCCACAGGCATCCCTCCCCAACATCGAGGTGACCATGCCCACCTTGGCTACACCCACCCAGTCTGCCATGACCACCACAGCCACGCCCACCTGGCACCTGGCA